TATAAAATAATATATTAAATAATAAATTATATAATTAATTTATTAAAAGTTTTATTATTTTATTAAAAAATTTATTAATTGTAAACTAGATTAACATTAGACAAGGAATTCAAAAAAAAAAATTAATTAACTCAAGCATTAATGCTATATATAATATAGTATTTAAGTTATAATATTAAATTTAAGGAATTTAGTGATTTAAATGGTGAAAGGTGAAGGTCATAAGTTCTGGTCTCTCCATGATTACTTTTTTATTTATTATCATTTTTAAAAAAAAATTATTTTCTTGTCATTCATGTCATTATTAGAATGTCATCTCATCAATCCACATAAGTCTTCATGTTATTAGTATAGTGATAGATCATTAATCTATATAATAGTCAATTAAAAAAGGAGACAAAAATTTCATACTTAAAAATAGAGAGAAAAAAAAATACAAATTAGAGATTATAATAAGATAAGAATTGTAATTTAACCAAAATTTTATGTACTTAAAGAAAAAAAATACTTAGATTTTATTATAATATGTTTTATTTTACTGAATCTCGTAGTACTTTAATGAGGTTGTTCCAAAGAAAAATATTATAGTTACCAATATTACTTACAATTTAAAAAATAACATTTCACCCCATTTTAAACATTTTTCTCATTTTTGGATTATATTATCCTTCATATTTATTATTCTCTTTAGGTTTAGTTATGGTTAGTCTACAAAATATAATAAATTATTATTTTGGTCCTCAAAATTTATTTTTTTGGTTTTTGTAACTTAAAAAAATATTACTTTAAAATTTATATAATCCGTTAAATTTAAAATTTGTTTTTGATTTACCAAATTTTAATTTTTTTTATATATATTTTGGCCTAAAGAAAAAGCTTAAATAATTTTTTAGTCTCCCAAATGTTTTAAATTTGAGGAACTAAAATAATATTTTTGAAAGTATAAGGACTAAAAACAAAAGTTTTAAATTTAACGGATCAAAAGAATATATATCCTAAATTTGAGGGACTAAAAATACTTAAGTCTTTTATTTATTTCATTTTTCTCTTTCCATTTATATGTAAAAGAAAAAATAATCATTAAGAAAGGTTGTATTGAAATCAAATTATGTTTGTTCTAACCTAGTAAAATATTCAATAATCCTTAAGAGATTTAGATATCCTTATAAGATGGTGTAGCCATGTTAGAAAGAGAAAAACACACATTTTATTAAATATAATTAACAAGTCATTTAATCAATTATAGTGACTATCCATTTGAACTTTTCATGGGACCCTAACTACAAAATTCAAAACAATTACAAACTTAGTATTATCTATTTGGAATCCTATTCATACCTCATTTGCTTAATTTGAAACAAAACGATTTATGAGACCTCTTATTACAAAAGTTCAAAATAATTGAAAAATTTAGTCTTGTCTGTTTGAAATTTTGTTCATACCCCACTTGCTAAGCCTATGACCAAATTTGATCTATTTGTGGTCCTCCAAATACAAAAATTCAAAACAATTCCAAGCTCATTTTTGTTTGCTTGGGAATATGTTCATAATAACCTATTTACTTAGCCTATCACTAAATTTGATTTGTTTGTGGAACCCTATTTACAAATTTTCAAAATAGTTACAAATTTAGTCTTATCTATTTGGAATCCTATTCATACCCCACCTATTCTACCTATGACCAAATTTGATTTGTTTGTGGAACCTCTTACTACACAAGGTAAAAATAACTGAAAGCTTTGTCTTGTCTTTTGAGAATTTCGTTGATACCCCCCTTGCTCAACCTATGACCAAATTTTATCTATTTGTGGGTCTCCAACTACAAAAATTCAAAACAATTGTAAACTCATTCTTGTCTGATTAGAAATCTACTAATACCCTATTTGTTTGTGGAACTCTAATTAAAAAATTCAAAACAATTACAAGCTTAATCTTATATATTTGGAATCTTATTCATACCCTACTTGCACAACTTGTGACCAAATCTAATTTGTTTATGGGACTTCCAATTACAATTGTTCAATATATTGAGTGGCTTAGTTTTGTTTGTTGAAAATTTTGCTTATACACCACTTGCACAACTTGTGACCAAATATGATCTGTTTGTGGGACTCCCAATTATAACTAGCCAAAATAATTGAGTGCTTAGTTTTGTATGTTGGAAATTTTGTTTATATCTCACTTGCGCAACTTGTGACCAAATTTGATCTATTTGTGGGTCTCCAACTACAAAAATTCAAAACAATTGTAAACTCATTCTTGTCTGATTAGAAATCTACTAATACCCTATTTGTTTGTGGAACTCTAATTAAAAAATTCAAAACAATTACAAGCTTAATCTTATATATTTGGAATCTTATTCATACCCTACTTGCACAACTTGTGACCAAATCTAATTTGTTTATGGGACTTCCAATTACAATTGTTCAATATATTGAGTGGCTTAGTTTTGTTTGTTGAAAATTTTGCTTATACACCACTTGCACAACTTGTGACCAAATATGATCTGTTTGTGGGACTCCCAATTATAACTAGCCAAAATAATTGAGTGCTTAGTTTTGTATGTTGGAAATTTTGTTTATATCTCACTTGCGCAACTTGTGACCAAATTTGATCTATTTGTGGGGCCCACAACTGTAACTGTTTAAAATAATTGAGTGCTTAGTTCTGTTTGTTGGAAAAAAAATTTATACCCCACTTGCACAAGTTGTGATCAAATATGATCTGTTTGTGGGACCCCCAACTACAACTGTTCAAAATAATTGAGTGCTTAGTTTTGTTTGTTGAAAATTTTGTTTATATCCCACTTACACAACTTGTGACCAAATTTGATCTGTTTGTGGGACCCTCAATTACAACTGTTCAAAATAATTGAGTGCTTAGTTTTGTCTATTAAAATTTTTGTTTATATCCCACTTGCATAACTTGTGATCAAATATGATCCGTTTGTGGGACTCCCAACTACAACTGTTCAAAATAATTGAGTGCTTAGCTGTCTGTTGAAAATTTTGTTTATATCCCACTTGCATGACTTTTGATCAGATCAGATCTATTTGTGGGCCCCCAACTACATATGTTCAAAATAATTGAGTGCTTAGTTTTGTTTATCGGAAATTGTTTATTGGAAATTGTTTATACCCCACTTGTTCAATTCTCGACCAAATCTGATCTGTTTGTGGGACCCCCAACTACAACTGTTCAAAATAATTGAGTGCTTAATTTTGTTTGTTGGAAATTTTGTTTATATCCCACTTACAAAACTTGTGACCAAATCTAATTTGTTTGTGGGACCCTCAATTACAACTGTTCAATATAATTAAGTACTTAGTTTTGTCTATTAAAATTTTTGCTTATATACCCCACTTGCATAACTTGTGATCAAATATGACCTGTTTGTGGGACTCTCAACTACAACTGTTCAAAATAATTGAGTGCTTAGTTGTCTGTTGAAAATTTTGTTTATATCCCACTTACATGACTTTTGATCAGATCTGATTTGTTTGTGGGCCCCCAACTAGATCTGTTCAAAATAATTGAGTTCTTAGTTTTGTTTATCGGAAATTGTTTATACCCCACTTGTTCAATCTCTTGACCAAATATAATGTTTGTGGGACCCAACCATGAAAATTCAAAACAAATGCAAGTTCAGTCTTTTTCAATATAAATAGATGCATGAAGTGACCCTTACACTCACGAGAAAAAGCATTGATTGTTGTTGGCATCAAAAGAATGTTAGAGGGTGTGAAACCTACAAGCATAATGTGGTTGGTCTTGAGAGAGCTCATGATTCCCTTTTTTTATCATTCCTAAATGTAAATGCAAAGTATTTTGAGTTTGATCTTTTAGAAGATTACATGAACATTAATGTTCATTAACAAGAAGATGAATTTGAAGGAGATGAAGGTGGTGGTTGTAATGTCAAAGTTGATGCGATCAATGTCCAAGATTGGTTTGGACAAGAAATTGATTTCAATGTCAAATGGTGGTTGACTTTAAATAGGTAAATGCAATATGAATTCATTTATTTCGTGCATGTATCTTTATTATCCATTTCATATTCAGATTTTGTTTGATATCTCATCATGAAATTGGTCTCCTAGTGTGGAATTTTAAGGGGAAGAGTTTCAAAATTAAATTGTTCTTTCATCAAAATGATTTGAAAGGGTATGTTTAATTTCTTGGTGTGGATTTTTGTTGCACCATATTTTGGGGTGTTTATAGTGAAATTAATTTTGAGAATTATTTATTTTGAATTGTATTTCAATTTGAAGTCTTAATGTTTTTCTCTTGTTTGATTCTAAATGTCAGTATTGAAGACTCAAATCAAATTAAAGGGTTCCACCATTCAATTGAGAGCTAAATGACATATTGGGAGCCAATTACCATTTAACTCTGGAATTAATTTCTTGTTCGAACCAATGTCGAACATTGACTGCTACCACCTTGTCATTATGCCCATCCCGTTTATTTCCATTAGGTTCATCTTCTTGTTGATGAATGTTAATGTTCGTATAATCTTGTAAGTGTTCAAGCTTAAAGTACTCCACACTTACATTCAAGAATGATGGGAAAAGGAGAACCATGAGTGCTCTTAAGAATAACCACATTACTCTTGTTGGTCCATGCTTTTTCTCTCTCCTTTTATGTCAACAACAATCAATGCTTCTTCTCGCTAGTGTGAGGGTCACTTCTTATTTCTATACTTATACTCAAGTATCAATATGGACAAGTATGAATTTGTAACTAATGTGAATTTTTGTATTTGAAATCTCACACAAAAATGAGATCTCATCATAGACTTACTAAGCAAGTGTGGTGTGAATAGAAGTCCAATTCTCAATTTTAATATGTACTTATCTAAAAATTAATTTATGTAAGCATGTTAAAGAGAGAATGACATTATTATTATTATTATTATTATTATTATTATTATTATTATTATTATTATTATTATTATTATTATTATTATTATTATCAAATGAGTATTCACCAATATCAATCAAATCATGTCTTTCTCTTTCTGACATCACTTCATCATCTTACTAAGGAAGAGATATAATTCTCAAGAAGAATTATTGACTATGTTACTATGTGAGGACAAGATATGATTTGAGTTCAGATTTAAAGTCTTTTTCTAGTGATTACTTGCAATATAACTTATGAGAAGTCTTGAAATTCTTATTGTCACTTCCTCAATCAAATGACGACATATGCACTTTTAACTATAAACAAGTTACATTAAATATGTGTTATAGAATTTTAAATAATTATTTATAGGTCATTATATAATTAAAAATTTGACATAGAATATAAAATTTATGAGCAATTTTTCCTAGAGAACTTTAGGAGTATTTATCAAGTTGATAGAAACCAAGAATACAACCAAATATTAAATTACTCCTTTTAAAATAACAAGGGGCAGAAACTGAAACAATAATAATAAATATGAAGGACAATATATTAAAAATGAAGAAAAAAATGTGTAAGATGGGTGTAAAAATGAAAATGTATTTTTTTTTTAAATTGTAATCGATATCTCTCGCTATAAGTTTATGTTTTAAAAAAACATCAATGGTGTATTGTGAGATTAAGTATTTTTTTTCTTTTGGTATATAAAATTTTAAGAAGAGAAAATAGTGTTGAATATAAGATAGGAAGAATCTTTAAACTCTAAAAAATTCTTGCAAAGAAGTTATGTTTATCTCACTCTAAAAGAAAATTAGTAAAAAATTTAATCTACAATATATTAGATGAAAAACTAAATCATTCAAATTATAATTTAAATATTTTGTAATTGTACATGAAAACACAAAGTTGAATTATGTTTTTAGAATATAAAATATATGTGTAATTTTCTTTCTGAGCACACACAAATGAATTGCCTTAAATTAATTATAATCATTTTATATTTATTAAAAAATAAAGGACAAAACTTAAGAACATTTCTTTAAATTAGTATTGCTCTCTAATTAGAATTAGAGATTACCTCTAAAATATATATCATTTAATGCAAATATCATTAATACACATTTATGCATATATTAAGGTAAATTTTCATTTTTATTGGAGAACAACACCAATTACAGATAAAAAATTATACTTAAGTTTTATTAAAAAACAAATAGCTTTATCACGTATCCAATTCCTTTAAAGTTAGTATTAAGATAAAGAAGTTAAGGTTGATAGAAAATACAAATAATTTTATACTAATTCATCTCGCAGGAGGGGTTAGTAGTATAATCCTTAATAACAACCAATAATTTCCTTTGACACATTAAAAAGAATTAATTTTAGAATGCTATAGGTATTATTTTCTGAAAGATGATCTTTTCAAACTTTAAACAAACATTATTTTGTCTGAAAATTCTAGATTTTTTTTCCACAAATATTCTTTATTAACAAGTCTTTTTATGCTCAACTCAAGTATTATTTAACACTTTCCTTTTTTTTTTCCTCCTAAAACTAATTTCTCTCTCAAAATGAGTTTTGAACAAGTTATCGAATTAACTTATGAGATTAACAAGAAATAAATTATACAAAGTATGTACAAGGTCATACAGAGTTAATTTTTTTATATAAAAAAAGTGAATAGAGTTGAGAAATTAATATTCGACAATGCTTATTACAATGCTATTCTCTGCTCTAATTGTTCCCTATAATTTGTTGACTCTTGATGTAATTAACTCAATTTTCAAGTAAAAAGAATTTACAGTTTTTTATGTGTTTTATTTATATCAAAGAAATTAAATTATTTCAATTTATATAATTAAATTTGAAAATGTAACTAAAAATATTATTTAACTCTTAAATTTTTATTATAAATTATTTATTATTTATTATTTTTATGTATTATTTATTTTATAATATATTCATTAAATTAAAATCTATAACTAA